TTGTTTGACAAAGCCAATATCAATCCATAACACATATATATATATATGGATTGATATTGGCTTTGTTATATATATATATATATATATATATATACCAAATAGTGAGTGCTTTCAGTGAGCCTAAACGTTTGATTGTAAGCTTTTAGATTTTCAGTTTAGATATATGATTACATATATATATATATATGTTTACAGCAAAGAGGAATTTCCCCACTAACTTTGGGGAACCAACTGCAAACCTTATGCAGATGAATTGCACGATGGTCATGCATCAAATTGCTGAGTGGCATTTACAAATATCGCGCATGTGAACAGCTGCATTTTAGTGTAAATTGTTCTTAAGAATTCGCCAATTTTCACTGAGTTTCATTATTTATTGAACTCATGACAATAATCTTTTCAACTGTACGAATTCAATACATCATTTCATGTGTAAACAGTACCTTTAAACAGTATGGGATACTTTGCAAAAACTAGTTTAGAACAGTTGGCTGAATTAAGTGGCTACATTTAAACTAGTGAATCCAAACTTTTGATTGATAGTATATCATAATCCGTTTTCTGATCACCTCCGCTAACCACAGGAAGTTTCATCAGGCATATACACGGCAAATCAGAAACAGTTTGAAGCCGAGTGCCAAACAGGTGGTTCTGTGATCGCGGGCCACAATATAGCATAGACACATAAACAACTTACTCTACATGATGATATTAATCCAGAATGAAACTAACATGCTTTATCACAATGTGGCTGTATCAGCATTATCAATCGGTTTTGTTATTTGACATACGAACTCGTTGGGATTTGTGGTTAGAAACAAACGTGCAAATCCACTTAATGGATCAACATGAATTGCTTGACCACGTGTCAGCATACATGGACGTGATGCTTCGCTATCCGCCACAGGGTTTTCTGCCCTCGATTATGCAGGCTGTCGAGTGTGGCCGTAAGAATCATAGAACTATTCAGTGACTGAGAAGACATGTTTACAAAAATCAGGCGATTACAGAAGTTGACTTCATCGCTTAAATCAATGTTTGAGGTATCCAAGCAGTGAGCAATAACAAACAGAAGAAATGTTCTATTGCACTACAACGAAAAGTGTTTATGATTGATGAAACTGCTGCCAGTGTTGCTAGGACTTGAAGGTCACTGAAAAGGTGTTCCTCTTAAGAATGCAGTGAGGTTAAACTGTCGTCTCCTGAAGGTGGGCAGCCTGACACTAGATACAGCGAAAATCTCGTGACATTGGGAACGCAGGATCCATGATTTATCATGAGCTGGAAACGTAGTAAAGAGAATTCGGTGTGACAACCTTACCCGTTGGGCCAACAACTATGACTGTTGGATACATTATTTATGACTGATATTGTCTCCACAGGCAATAAAACATGCCGAAATATTCCAGAATGAAACTGACGTGTCAAAATGTGGCTGCAGCAGCATCATATGTAAGTTTTGTTTTAAAGATATACATCCATCTCGGGTCCATGCAGGTAGCAAAAGTACTGTAAGTCCCCATGGTCACTTGTATGGCGATCTACCTTCACTAGCTGGCGATCTATAGCCTGTGTTTGTATTGTGTATTGTCCGAATAGTGTTTTTATCTTAGCATTATATGCTAGCTTACAATTTGACTGTGATAATCTAGTTGTCTTACTCTCCCTTGACGAAAGGTTTTACAATATAAATTTATTCCTTATCAATGTTAAATTGGTTCTTGTCACGATATGGCTGAAAGATTGCCGATGTGACGATAAATATTAACTTACTCACACTCAAATAGTTTTCATCTAAGCTGCTTTGTTTTTATTTTTCAATGAACTTTGATCATACGGATAATGAATCAATTCGTATATTTCCTAAAACGTTTAAATTTTGTTAAGTGTCAGGATAGTTATAGACATTGATATATGTTTTTTGCAAACCAAAACAAATGAATTTAGTTAAATGAAGTTTAGCTCGCCAGTGGGTTAAACTGTTTCGCCCATTGTGGGCTGACATTTATTGCTTTGCAAAGCAAAAACCATGAGTTTTGAGTAAAAGTAAATATTCTCGCCCCAGGGTGAAACAATTTGGCCCGTGGGCGAGATATTTTTTAAAGCTCTATATTAGACGAATAAAGTCAAAATGAGTTAAATTTTGTTTGGGGTTCTTGTCCATTGGGTGTTGGCCGTTGTGTTGTTATGTCATTTCGATTTGGAACACGACCGAAGAACCACGTTTATAGAATATTACACAACACTGAATTATAATGTTTGGTGGCCCTGACATGCATCCATACCCGAGTGGGTTCAAATATACACGAGCTGTTGTTGAGAAGACAATATTAGTAATACGGAAGCAAAACGTGGTTTACTACCTCAGACAATATACTACGCTTAGCAATGTTTGGTTTATTTCTAAAAGTGTAATTGGAGGCACATTAACTACGAAGAGTTGCAAGGAAAACTTTTATGTAACATCGTCATGTAATATATCAGATGTCGAGGTGCACATAATTTCCACGGTCGAAATGCCTAGGCAGTTGTAAGACGTACTGGTGATCGGGAAGTGATGCATTGATGTGAGATGAGGCTGAAATGAGGGAGTTTCATGCACATTCCCTATTCGAAATACATTGTGCAGGGGCTTACGGGAGCCTCGTGAGGAATTGCATGTGTGCACACTTAAAACGGGCATGCGCAATTAAACATTGAAAGTGATCTAAGCAGGTAGAAGACAGGTGAAATTCAGGACAAGTACACGAAATACTTATATTTACAAATACTCCAAATCGTAAAAATGTTTATGTTTATTGTGAGTGGAGGATTGATTAAACTAGTTACGTGTCAGCGCGATCAGTCGGAAACATAGAATCTCTCTTTCTCTCTCTCTCTCTCTCCCTCTCTCTCTCTCCCTCCCTCCCTCCCTCTCTCTCTCTCTCTCTCTCTCTCTATCTCTCTCTTTGTGTATTGTGATATATATTGTGATATATAATATAATTGATAATTGCTCTGAAAACTGTTCAAGTAAACATCCATCATGAACATATCGCATACCAAAACTCTAGCATTTGTACAGAGTATTTGAAACGAAAGAGTAAGCGATAACAGTTGGTAGTATTGATTTCTTTCAACTTATGTCCACAATCAACTGTTCAAGTAAACATACATCTTGAATTCGAACATACCGCATACCGGAAGTCTAGCATTTGTACAGAGTATTTGAAACGAAAGAGTTAACGATAACAATTGGTAGTATTGATTTCTTTCCACATTTATTGATAGACATTTGCTTACAACAGACTTTGTGCATGTCTGATAAGGTACAAAGACAAGAACTACTCTTTCTTCCACACAGTATCACATGGTTTAAAGATATGCTGACGTACAAAAGAAAGTACACATCGTGTGCTTTTGGAGAATAGTCCCAAATCAACAGAAGTACTTTGAAAAGTGCTGTAATTGTTATTAACACGGCACACACGCTGTGTACGTGTTGTCAAACCATATATCGACACAAGCGCGACGTTGCTAGCGCCTCACGTTCCTCGTAGACAAGTCAGTCAATGTTGGAGCCCAATCTGCGACGTTGCATTGTGATGAGTGCCTTTACTAGGTATACCATCACGTATCTCAATCGTGATTTAAAATCTTGGTGCATATCATGCACATGTGATTCAACAAAAATCATGATTTTCATGGTGTACTACAGATCATGTCTGAGGTGTTCTGACAATTCGAACATACTGTTTGTGCAAAATCATCTGCAGTTTCACATGCAGTCGAGTCAACAGAACAGTGTCAACACGCAGTCGGAGAGTGTTCAGACACAACAGTAGTTACTATGTCCAAGTTGAAATGTTCCAGATTCGCAATATAGAGTTCCATATTAATGCTTAAAGGAGAATACGAGAGAATTGCAATAATTTGTTGGGTGAAAGATGAAGTCATATACCCAAATTTTCAATTCAAAAATATGAATATGTATGTTTTAATCGCGAAAACAGTTTCTGTTATCTGAGCTTCGGCCTTTATGCATATACCGCTTACGTGACCTTTCCGCTCGTGACGTCATATGTGACTAGATGGCGCCATATTGCCAAAGACCAAGCGCTTCAGTAATACAAATCGTGTTGTGTTTTTGTAAATGGTACGATGGTGTATTGTTGCATAGGGATGGACGGCATCACCGAACTATGGAAAGAGCCACCATTTCTTCTGTTTTCCAAGTAAAAAGACAGGACAGACATTTTGGTAGGAGAAATGTTCCGATCATTTCGATTGTGATGAAATAGGGTACCAGTCGAATTGCCCCAGCTACAAAATGCCCCTGCAAATTTTGTCAAACTGCCCCGACTTTTTGGTCAAATTGCCCCGGAGTGTGTGTGTCTGTCTCTCTCTCTCTCTCTCTCTCTCTCTCTCTCTCTCTCTCTCTCTCTCTCTCTCTCTCTCTCTCTCTCTCTCTCTCTCTCTCTCTCTCTCTCTCTCTCTCTGTGTGTGTGTGTGGTCAAAATGCCCAAATTAATTTAAAATGATTAAATATATGCAATAAATGCATGGTTTTGTCAACTTTGATATTATGTTCTTAACTATAAAATTTATATATAGTTATGAGGTTACTAATGGAACATTTATGAGAAATATTACTTCCTAATAACTCCTAATAAGGACATAATATCAAAGTTGACAAAAACTATGCATTTATGGTATATATTTGAATATATTTCAATAAACTTGACCAAATTAGGATCAATGACCAAATTTGCTAGGGCATTTTGTAGCTGGGGCAGTTCGACTGGTACCCATGAGATATATATTGTCAAAATCAGTAAGAGATTTCACATGAGCTTGAAAATGTTTCGCTATAACGTTCGTTCCGGTTTGGAGCCTTAAATGGTACAGTCTATCTGAAAAATTGCCGAATACAACGGAAAATCATGAAGTACATGTAATATTGTTTTCCATTTTGTTCAATTACGCACGTCGGCATCAGACTCGCTATTTGTCAAAATAGTGTGTCTCGTGAACGGAAGGTGACCTTTAGGATGTTTTTTTTTCAAAATATCAAAAAATACAATTACGTTAGTATTCTCCTTTAAATCGATGGCGATACATCTCTGATTGCAAAACTGAACTGTTCTCACCGACAGTGGTGTTCTGAAAGTGAAAACAAGAAAATACATATATCGACTTCTGTACAACATAGAGTCCCTCACTCTAATATACATTCGATTATTTCATACAGTTGATACTAGGAAAATATCGCCTACCATGTGACCACGGATTCCTTAATGCTCTCTACCTACACTTTGTCAGATTTCACTCATACTGATTTCTAAGGACAATTTGTATTGTAAAGTAAGACTTCAAAGCCCTTTAGTACTTCAGCAAGTTATGGTCTGTCGATCAACTAAACTGCTGCATTTTAGTATGTTCAGGAAATTATAACATCTGGAATAAGTACATGTTAAAGACACACCACTAACAAAATAAGCCGTGTTCGTATCCATTCACACATACCATTGCAAAGGCTTGAAGCCAAAGACCTGGACTTCACAAAACTGCAAAAGATCATCTCCGTTAATGGTTTTCTTTCCACTAAGTCTCATGTAGCGGCCAGTAACGCGTGAAGTGCACCGTAAGGCAACTGTCTTGCCAGGCTCTGTCACGGCTCCATTGTACATGTAACACAGTTGTGGGGTGACACTAGGGTTTCCAACAGGGTCATCTTGGTACACGTCGATACTAAAGTCGTGAAGTCGTTCAGCTGTTCAAAACACAACTATCATGTTAAACTTTTCAATTTGAGATAATTTGAAACCTCTTCCAGTCTTTTCTTTGCGATTAAATGTAAATACCCCAGAAGCTGGTACAATGACACCTGACCAAGTATACTTATAATATTTGTAGAAATGTATAAGATTATTAAATAACCAATTGTTCTATTGCTATATACTGTGGATATAATATTTAAAATCTAAGAAAGTTAACTCGTATTCATTCTGTTTATTATGATCACGATATACTGAAATAGCTTTACATCAGTATCATGAAGACAGTAGACGAGCGTTTATCTTACGTCTAAATTCTTCTCTGTTAGTGACACGAACTTCCACAACGACATAGGTGTCCTGAAGGTCCACCTGCCACCAGGGTGAGAAATCACCGGAATTTCCAACAAAACAGGATCCAGTCTTGCCATCACCGTCCACAGCAAAACCTGGTTGGAATCTAGCATCCGACCATACTGAACTTGCACTTGCTGGTTTATCTTTTGCAATATTAGGTAGAAATTCCTCTGTTGGAAGAAACAAAACTTAATGATAGAAACAAATTGGCAGGGTGTTTATTACAAGGTCAGTGAAATGCTACAGAAACGAATACACATTGCTATGGGTTTTTTATGATATAAACTTCTGGCGATTTCAATAACGAGTATGCGAGTTTTACATCTGATTGCCTATACGATCAAACAAGTTAAATATTAACAAAGATACGTTAATAATAAAGATGTTCTCTATCCATAGAACCTTTCCCATTGTTCATCACATTGACATCTAAATGCCACTCAGGGTAAAAGTCATAACACAAGACAATAGAGATATATTCAGGTACATGTATGTCTCATAAATTAAAATATAATATAACATATAATGGCATAGATGCTCATCCGCCATATTTTATAGACAGCTCACAAAAAATGTACACTTTCTAAAAGGTATTAAATTTGTATTGGATTGTGCAGATTTGCAAAAGCAAAAGCGTTTCGTTTTGTGAAAGGTGACGCTGGAAATCCTACAGTAACCTTATCAGATGTCGCATCAATTCTTGAACTGGGGATACATTTTTGAACGTGGATTGTACTACAATCTCTTTGTCCGAAGTTTCTCAGCAAACATTAAATAATGGATAACATTTTTGTTTTATTGATTTCTTGAGACCATTATTCTAAATAATGACACGAAAGAACCACAGTTATATACACTTTAATCAGTTTTATCTACCACTAAAAAATGTATTGCCAATATGATGTACGTCAGCGTCACGAATTTATGACCTTTAATAATCATTTAGTGCCAGTGCAAACAGAATATAATAAGTACATAGATATACTCTGGACCATGTAACCAATATTCTTATCTCTCACAAAACAAAGTGAAGGTGTATATGGGTCAAAGGTACTCCACCAAAATAACCAAAACCAGAACTGTTCTAAATTAAGATGTAGATAGCGTGGTCGTACGAATTCTCAGAGTTCTACCCAAACTGTTTGTTTATCAAAGCCACTTTCTGTAAACGCTATTTCGGTGATCATAGTGAAGTAGATCAGTGGTTGTAGGCAATATGTATCCATCGTTAAACGTTGTACAAACCACATTTCACGGTGCCATTTTTCTTCATAGTGCACTTCCTCCTGATTCCACAGGACCTTTTCTGACAAGGGCCAAGTGTTGTCTGTAACATACAATTTATGTTATATATAAGGACATGTAGAAATATGAATATGTTACTGTTACCAATTAGATCTACTTCTGTGCAGTATCAGACAACCTATGTCTGTATGCGCATTGTGTGTGTGGCGTGCTGTCGGTGGGACAGGACGGGCTTATCCGTTTACCGAGCACCTGGTGTCATCACTGATTTTGAGTAATCCCTTTATAATTTCTTCAGCGCTATTCCACCTTTTACACCAAGTGCCTTCTGTTTCAACAGATAATCTCATAATTTGTATAAGGAAAACATGATAACTCAGCAATAGCATAAGAGCATTAAACCAAATTTTACTCTTGTATCAAGCGAAACAATACACGTGTTATGCATTCATTAATATCTGCAGATTTTGCAGACCCGTAAAGATCCGAGTTAGAACCGATCTTCAGCAACCCATGCTTGTCGTAAGAGGCGACTAACGGCATCCGTGGTAAGGCTCGCTCCTTTGATTGACACGTCAGCGTATCCCAATTGCGTAGATTGATGCTCATGCTGTTGATCACTCGATTGTCTGGTTCAGACTCAAAAAATTACAGACCGCTGCCATTTGGCTGTAATATTGCTGACTGCAGGATTAAACAAAAGAAGAACCAACTAACAGATTTTGCAAACAATAGATCTTGACCCATGTGCAAACACATTTTTAAACATCCATGCAATTCCAGTCCTACCTTGTTCCAGTTCACAGTTGAACTGTATATGAAGTCAGCCGCTTTCCCGCCACCTTCCAAATATTGCAGATCATCGAAACCATTCAGATGACACAATCTTAGGCCCAATTCAAAATGGAAGGATTTGCATATCCCATAAGAGGCACATTCAGCAGCACAGACGAACAGAGCTGAATTCTCGATGATCTTAAACGTTGATCCCAGCAGACGTTTTCCATATTGTAGATCCGGCATACATGTATTGGTTAACAGTATCATATTCCAAAGGATCAGGCAACAAATGTACATGATTTCGATACGTCCAAGACGAAGACGAAACATGATGGACATGATTTCAATGACAAAACGATATGCAAGCAGAGTTTTAAAATATGGCTGAAGGAACAAACAGGAAAATGTTTAAGATACAATCTGCATTTCAAGATCTATCTTCCACTTGTCGACAACGTCATGAAATATTAATCAAGGCTTTTCAACACGCCAATCGATGAAAGTACATACGTTACGCTGTGTGTCTTATGGTTGCAGAAGGTGGATGCTGGTTTATTCAAATAAGGAGCTGTTGCCACCAGTGCATGTAAAGAAGGTTAAATCTAACTGTCACTTGCAGGATCGGCTAATCATTGGTGCAGCTTTAAGATTCGCTCCAATTTTAACATATGTTATACTTGTGATTACACTTTCTTAAAAAAGTACAGATTCTAGTTCTTTTTTGGGGGGGGTTGAGTCCAATCCGAGATTCGAACCCACACCCTCAGAGTCAGGCACCTAATCGCCAGCACACAAAGTCAGCCGCCTGACCTGCTCAGCCACCGCGGCTTCCACAAAAATGGAAGTCGGACAGCTGGTAGTCTAGACTGCGGACTTTGTGTACCCCTCTGATAAGTGTAAATTGGCACGGCTCCAACGGCCGAAAACTATGATTACAAAATGCCATTTAGAAAGTGGTCAAATGTAACGTGTTATATTTGGGATTACACTCTGTTAGAAAAGTACAGATTATAGCACTTTTTGGGGTTGAGTCCAATCCGGGATTCGAACCGACACCCTCAGAGTCAGGCACCTAATCGCCAGCACACAAAGTCAGACGCCTAGACCGCTCAGCCACAAAAATGGAGTGAGTGAGTGAGTGAGTGAGTTATTATTTAACGTCACATCGGCAATATTTCAGCCATATCGTGACGAGAACACTTGACATTGAAATAGAATATATATAAAGATCATAAAACCTGCCGACAAAGGACAGTAAAGCAACTAGAGTATCACAGATATATATGTAAAACTAGTAATTGAATCTAAAACCTTTCAGCGAGAGAGCGAGTTTGGTTTTACGCCGCTTTTAGCAATATTCCAGCGATATCACGGCGGGGGACACCAGCAATGGGCTTCACATATTTTGCCCACGTGGGGAATCGAACCCGGGTCTTCGGCGTGACGAGCGAACGCTTTAACCACTAGGCTACCCCACCGCCCCCTAAAACATTTCAACTATAGGGGACAACACAATATAAAAATGGGCTATAGATCGCCAACAACTGAAGGTAGATCACCATACTAGGAACCATGGGGACTAACATTACTTTTGCTACCTGCATGGATCCTAGCTGGATTTACACCATCCCTTCAGCCGCTGGCGATTGTAGGAAAATTTAGCCAACAGTTAAAATAACAAAAATACTACGTTTAAAATGTGATAATTTATATTTTACTTTGAAAGTTTTTGGACTTACGTACCATCTCAGGAGGACAATAATTTTACGGTACTTTAACCCCCTTTGAGGGTACAGCCACTAACAATCTAAGTTAACAATCTAAACTACCAATCATTAAAATACATCTATTTACAGAACATATTAATCAAAAATCATTAATCAAATCAATTTCTTTTAAAAAACCAAGAATTAAATGAACATGAACAGTGTTAAAAAGATCCTGAACAGTTTTAACATTGAAATATTTATCCCTTATGACGGAGAATTCGACACAGTCAAGCAGGAGACGCTTGACTGTGACTCTCTCATCACAAGGGATACAAAACGGAGGATCTTCACCTTTCAACAAGTATTTGTGAGTATACCTTGTATGGCCAATGCGACATCGTCGCATAATGACCTCCTCAAATCTGGACTGACAACCCAAGTGAGTGTAACCAATATAAGGTTTTATTTCATGTAGTTTATTAGTACCTACTTGGGTGTCCCACTTCTTTTGCATCAGATCACGGATGTAAGTTTCTAATGCAAGATTTGTAATCAGAGTAAGGAAGAAGAAGTGGTGTCACAGACTTGTTGAGTGCTGCCTTGGCAGAAAGATCAGCCAGTGTATTCCCAGAAATGACAACGTGGCTGGGTAACCAACAAAAGACGATGTCGCATTGGCCAGTAGCAAGCTCATTATACAATTCAATAATTTCTAATAAAAGTGGATGTTTACAAGAAAGATTTTTAATGGCCTGAAGACACGAAAGAGAATCAGAAAAGATGATGTATTGTTTATATTTACGGTGTTTATTAATATATTTAAGAGATGTTAATATTGCGTTAGCTTCTGCTGTGAAAATAGAGCTACTATTTGGTAGTCGAGAAGATATTGTTCGGGATCCAGTGACGGTGGCACATGCCACCGCGCCACCATCCTTGACCCATCTGTAAATAAGGATTTGTATGTATTATATTTATTTTTTAATTGATTATATTCTTGTTTATATTGTAATTCATTAGTTACAGATTTCTTAAACTTTGTCAGAATTAGGTCAACTTCAGGCCTCGCCAGTTGCCAAGGAGGAGAAGAATGAAGACGGGAAGGAGCTATATTTTCCAGCTCAATACCGGCAGCAGAAATGAATGGCTTAATTCTTAGCCCAAGAGGCGGAACAAGAGAAGACTTTTTGTTGTATAAATCCTCATAAAGAGGATTGAAAACACAGTGAAATGCAGGATTCGACTCATTAAAATACAGTTTTGATAGATACTGTAATGATAATTTGATACTACGTTGGTTAAGTGATGGCTCATCAGCCTAAATATAGAGACTGTCAATAGGAGAAGTTCTAAAGGACCCAAGACAAAGCCTTAGGCCTTGGTGGTGGACAGAATCAAGTAGTTTTAGGTTGCTTTTGCAGGCCCCACCATATACGATGGAGCCATAATCAAGTTTAGATCGCACCAATGATCTATATAAGTGAAGGAGGGTAGTTTGATCCCCTCCCCACTTTGAATTAGAGACAACCTTTAACAAATCGAGTGCCTTCAGGCATTTAGCTTTAAGGGATTTTATATGTGGCAGAAAGGTTAAATGTGAATCGAAAATAACACCAAAAACCTTGGCCTCCTTCACAACTTTGATGGGAGTGCCATTTAGAGATAGTTCAGGGTCTTTATGCAGTTTGTATGTACGGCAGAAATGTATACAATTAGTTTTTGATGTAGAAAATTTAAAGCCGTTTTCAAGACACCATTTATTCATTTTGTTTAAACACAACTGCATTTGCCGTTCGATGGTATGCATATGTTTGCCACGACAAGAAATATTAAAATCATCCACAAAAAGTGATCCATCAATTGAATCATTTAAAACCTTTGATAAAATGTTGATCTTGATACTAAACAAAGTGACAGACAACATACTGCCTTGCGGGACTCCCTGATCCTGATTGTAATGGTCAGACAGGGTTGAACCCACTCGGACTTGAAATTGCCTGTCATTTAAAAAGTTGGATATAAATTGAGGCAAATGGCCTCGTAATCCAAAGTCATGTAAATCTTTTAAAATGCCATGTTTCCATATTGTGTCGTATGCTTTTTCTAAATCGAAAAAGATCGACACTGCATGTTGTTTATTAATTATGGCATTTTTCACAAAAGATTCTAGGCGCACTAAATGATTGATGATACTACGGTTTTTACGGAAACCACATTGTATATTAGTTATAAGGTTATTGGTTTCTGAGTACCAAACAAGTCGATTGTTGATCAAGCGTTCCATGGTTTTACAAACGCAGCTAGTCAGTGAAATTGGTCTATAATTAGAGGGATCAGTATGATCACGCCCAGGTTTAGGTATGGGAATAATAATAGCATCCCGCCACGACGAAGGAAAAGTTCCAGATGTCCAAATGTCATCAAAAATATGTAAGAGCGTCTCTAAACATGATTCAGGTAAGTGCTTCAGGAGTTGATAATGTATACCATCAGCTCCTGAAGCAGTATCATGAGCCTGGTCAAGAGCAGTATGAAGCTCATGTATCGAAAATGTTTCATTGTAATCTTCCCCATTATCTGAATTAAAATTAATAGGTTTCTTCTCTTGCTGTTTTTGATATTTTTGGAATTCGGGTACATAATTAGATGAGGAAGAATGTTTGGCCAACGTCTCACCTAATTTATTAGCAATATCTGATTTATTGGTCAATAATTGATTCCCATCTTTAAGATGGTGAATGCTAGATTTAAAGCCCTTACCTTTGATATTCTGGATCATATTCCATACTTTTGATATCGGCGTGCGTGAATTATTTTTTGATACATAGTTGCACCAAGATAGGCGTTTATTTTGCTTGAAAGTACGTCGTGCTTTGGCGTTTAGGAATTTTAAATTTGTCTAAATTGTGGATAGGATGGCGACGGAAATAATGTTCAGCTTTCTTCCGTGCCTTCCTAGCCTGTTTGCATTCATTATTAAACCATGGTTTTCGCACATTAGGAATTGCAGAGGACTTTGGGATACACTCGTTAGCTATTTTATGTAGTTCATCTGAAAAACATTGTATTGCATCAGGTATTTCATGAAAAAGTTCAGGTTTGAGTTTAGTAGCAAAGAGACTTTCGTATAAAGGCCAGTTGGCCTTTTTAAAATTCCATCTTGATATTGGAGGAACATCTGACGGAGTTATAGCTTTAAGAAGGGTTGGAAAATGATCACAAAACACATGTCATTGTGGACTGACCATTCAAACTGATTCAGCAGATCAGGGTCTGTCATGGACAGATCAAGGGAAGAATAAGTACCTGTACCAGTATGTAAATACGTGTTGGAAGTACCATTAAAGAGACATATGTCAGTGTTGGAAAGAGATTCTTCCAGTACTTTTCCCTTATTACTAGTATGTGTACTTCCCCAAAGAGGGTTGTGCCCATTCAAATCACCCATGATGATACATGGCTTGGGAAGTTGATCATACAACGCCTGTAGATCCACATGCTGAAGAGATAAAGATGGAGGAACATAGATTGAACACAAAGTAAAAACAATGTACAAAGTTATACGGACAGCAACTGCTTGGAGGGGGGTATTCAGACAAACAGGGCTATGAATAACACCTTGCTTCACCAGAATCGATGAACCTCCAGTTGCTCTAACACCCGGAGGTGAGAAGAAATTGTAAGAATTGTATTGTCTTAAGTCAAGTTTCTCAGTA